ACTAAAATCATCAAAAGTCCTACAGTGCTTCTAAAAGTGTAAATGCATTGAGTTTAAGGCTCTCTCTAATATCTTGCCAGCCTGTCTCCCAGCCTCTTCATCCATTGCTCATATTAAATCCCCTGTGCTCAACCTAACATAATTCCTTACCATTCTTGGAATCAACTGACACTTTCCTGACCCCAAATCTTTGTCATACGATTCTTACTTCTTTTAATATTTTTCCATATTGCACTGACGTATTTGTCATTATTTAGCCAAATCGCTAGGTCAATTGCCTCTTCCACCCTAATCGCCAGGATTCTTTCTCTCTTTTCTGAACCTCCACACTGCATTGGTTGAGGTATTCCCACAGCATTTATCACATAAAACCTCCCTGCTAGATTATTAAAATGGGGTCCTTGGCCCAATTCCAACATGGAGGGAGGGAATTTCCAAAACTAACAAACATTTCTCAGGACTCTGACACTATTTACCCAGAGATAGCATCAAATCCCACAGGTTAAGGGTTCAGCCCTGCAAGACTTACCCCTCCCCTCTCTTTATATACCAACAACATTTGCTTACCAGTAAAGCATCCAAAAGTCAGCTCAGTTATGACACTGCCTGGAGATAGAGATAGCATCCAGGTCGACAGGTTAAGGGTTCAGTCCTGCAAGACTGCCCTTCCCCAACACACACTTCAGATGCCAGTGGCAAGCCCAGGCTTTCTGCGCTTATGACCAACTGGCTACAGATTGGAGGTTCCAACAACCCCCTCCATTTCAGAATTGAGGAACTGATAGGACAGTTGCAAGTCCAGATTGTTACCTGTGCTTCTGACGAACTGGCTATAAATCAGGGGTTCCTACAACCCCCTCTGCGGGTTCAATTAATTTGCTGGACCAGGTCACAGAACTCAGAGAAACATGTTACTTGTTAGATCGCTGGCTGGTTATAAGAAGATATAACTCAGGAACGACCAGATGGAAGAGATGCATAGGGCAAGGTATGGGGCAAGGGAAGCAGAGCTCCCATGCCCTTTCTAGGTGGGCCACTGTCCTGACATCTTCACGTATTCTAGACCCTGAAACTTCTTGAACCTTGGCTTCTTGAGTTTTTACATAGGCTTCATTACAGTCATGCCTGATTAAATCATAGGCCGTTGGTTATTAATTTAACCCCCAGCCTCTCTTTCTTCCCAGGAGGTCAGGGAAGGACTTATAGTTCACACCCTTGAATCACACTGTTGGTTCCAGTGGCCACCAGCCCCCATTCCTTGGTAGGATCCAAAAGTCACCTCATTCAACATAACAAAAGACAACTTTTTCAATCTCAACATTCAAAAATTACAGGAATTTCCTGAGAGTTGTGAGCCAGGAATTCTGGACAAAGATCAAATATACATGAGAAATATATTTATGTTGTCTGAATGACCCAATATACATTTCTTATAAATCACAGTTTCTTATGTATCACAATTAGAGATTCTTGAACACAAGAATTGACCTTTTCTTAATGTGCTTCTGAGTTCTAGATGATTCCCAGTTTAGTAAAAGTCTTCCATGCAGTCATTGTATGGCTCCTGTGACATTGGTAAAATCTGTGTTTACTAATTTCTGTCAAAATCATGGGCCCATTTTCTATTATTTTAAGTACTTTTTTAAAAACCTAAACTTAACATTTTGGAATTGGAACGCTCTACAGGGATGATTTTAGTCCTAAACTCTTTCTTAACTAATGTGGAAATGAGGCCCTGAGGGACAGAGCGGTGGGGCTGAGAACACATAGCTAGTTTTTGCCAGATCAAGTGTGAAGACTCAAATCTACTCTTGACACCAGAAGGAGCTTGGTTCCCAAATCAGCCTCCCAAATTACCTAATTATATGTCCTCTACATAGGAAATATCTTTGCTGACTGACTGTAATAAAAAGAATGCAGTGTGGTAGAGTAAAAGAGGTAAGTATTGGTTTGGAATCAAACAAATCAGATTTAGATTCTGGCCTGGTCACTTAATTAGCTACACAGATTTTGATTAATTACTTAACTTCTCAGCTTGTTTCTTCGGCTATAAAATGTGGACAACTATATACAGTTCATGAAGTTGTGTTGATGAAATGGTATAATGTATATGAAGTGATCGAAACACAACAATTTGAGGTCATTATTTAAAATAATCTTTAGTAAGTTACAAATCTGCATATTTAATGTTTCTTAATAATGCATACCTTTTTTGCTAATGCATAAAACTTTTATTTTTTGATCATTTTATTTTTCAGTTACAGTCGACATACAACATTATATTAGTTTCAGGAGCACATCCCGGTGATTAGACAATATACAACTTACTAAGTGATCATCCAGATGAATTGTAACCATCTGACACTATTGAGTAAATGAATAGTGGATTTCTCTTTTTACCTTTGTCCTCAGAATGCTGAAATTTTGAGGGTGGCCATAAGTGTTACTAAAGAGTCCACCGAGTTATTTTTCATAATAGTTCCTTTTAAAAAATATTATCAAGAACTATGTACTTTGGAAGGTGAATGCTTAGAGCACTGAGTGTAGCTGAGCTGGGTGACCAAGATAATTTTTTTGACACTTTGCAGAGCTCATTGTTTTCTCTGGATTAAAAAAAAAAAGCTATTACATTCACTTAATAAATACCTCTAACAGGCATCAAAGTTGTCTCCTGACAGCTCCATAACTGATCTTGACTTTCAGCTCTTTTTGATGATACTGCTTTTCCTTTCACAGCAATTCTTTGAGCTCAAGCAGAAACAAAGACTACCTGCCCATAAGGGCTTGGCAGAAGGGCGTGGTTGTTGGGGGCCACTCTGAGTGATATCGGGGACTGTAGTCCTTCACAAGCGGGGGCCTGGGAGAGGCTCCGTTAGTCTTGGCCAGAAAACTGGTAATGCGGTTGATAGGCCGGACCCGATAACAGCTCCGAGGGCCCCCGGGGGAAATCAGGCGTAGGAGTAAATTATATTCTTTGAAGCATGCTCTGTTTCTCCCTCAAGCTCTGTTATTCTCACACCAGACAACCAGCTCACACTGGGAAGGAAATTTATGTTCATCTACCCTGATCCAAAACCTGTTTGGCACTCTTATATTTACTCATCTTGGACCCATGCAAATCGGTGTGTTCCTGTCCTTTGTCTTCTTCAAACATCACCTACACTCTGTACTCTTAAGTTTCTGATGTAATTAGATTACCTATAGATTCCTGCTACCTGGCCCCCACTGCTAATCCTCTCAGTAAAAGCCATTGAGCATGGGGGCTCCGGGCATTCCCCGCTAGAGGGAATCACCTTCCCCTTTCCTTGACAGGCAAATGGTGTATGGAATGATTCTTCCATCCGCAACACATCTGGGGACTTCGTGGGCCAGAGCCCCCCATATGTAGTAGGTTAAGGACATGAGAGTCTCTTAAGGGAAATAAATAAAGACTTGGTATCACTTCTAAAACACTACTGGGCCCTGAAAAGTTTTGTGTTTTTATATCAAATATGAGAGTAAAAGTAAGGTGGTTTAATATAACATATGAGAGCCACACTGGATAATTTAAAAAGCCCATGTTCTAGAGTCTGTAATATTTTAATACTGGTCGGTTATTAAGAAAGATCAGGAGTTCCTTTTCTGGAATCCCTGCAGGATTGGTCCCAGGATCGGTTACACAGGGCGCTTGTCTGGTAGAGCAAACATGAGTCAAAGGAAACGCTATTGTTGAAAACCGATGTTTTCCTCTTTATAAAGCTCACAACCACCTATACAAAGTGATCAAAAAGCATTTTGGAAAGAATATCGCAACAGAACACAATTACCCTCACAGTCCATGCACTAAGGCATAATTTCAAGACAGGGATTTCACTTAACCAGGTACGCTGTTTAAGGGCCAGATAGGAAAGCTATGCTAGGACTGTGCTCACTAGACTCGGGTCAATTACTGAAGGGAAACAATTTCTAGGGATTACTCTCTGTGAATGTGAGCGTCTGGCCTTTCCATCCATGTCCTTTAGTGTTGTTGACAGGCTCAGTGCTGGGCTGTGTGGACCTTTACTCTGACCAGGACCGTGTACATCTGTTGTTCTCCACAGTGTTATTACTTACCTAGAGCACTTCAAATAAATTGGATGTCCCTGTCCCATTTCCAGAAAGTCTAGTTTAACTTGTCTGAGGTGCCTGGAGCATTTTGATTTTTACAAAGCTTCTTGTGTGATTCTAATGTGTGGCTAGCCACGGAAAACACTGGAATATATTTATAAAGTCCTTCTAGCAGACCTTGTTCTTTAAATCTACTACCCTATCATTTATCTTTCTGGCACCTGGTTTTTGTTTTGTCATATTTCTTTCCACCCAACACACTATGAATATCACATAGCAGTCAGACTAGAATAGTCCCAAAGTGGAATTCAAGAGGTGCCCTTGGTAGATAAGGAGAACCCTAGCCAAGAAGGCGAAGAAAGTGATTCCCACCCAAACCTCGTATGGACAACTCCCTGGGGTATTGCTCCACCTGCTTCTAGGGGCGTTTGGCACAGAGCGTTCCCCATCCTCTTGTTGGCATTTGGCAGGATTTCTAGTTGAAGGCACCACGTCCTTGGGTGGGCACCATTTCTCAGCCCCAAGCTTCGGAGGCCACAGCTCCTGCCGCTTAGCTTTGCAGCACCAAGGGCACTTCAGGTCCTCCTAAAGTAATCCCCTTCAGATTCCTGGGGAGCCAAGCGTGGCCACGTGAAACACCCCTCTCTCCTCTGTTCCCCCTAATTCTTTGTTTTACTTAGAAAGCAGATATTTAGATTTCCAGGTGGCAGCTCGTTGCAGGCCCCACTGTAAGAAAGAAAAGTCCCAGCGTCCGGTGCCAAAGAGCTTGTTTCCCTTCCTACCCAGGACCCTTCCTACCTAGTCAAGGATCCGTGAGGCCAGTAACCCTAGAGCCCCAGCCCCTGCCCCGCCCACATCTGGTGCTAGCAAACTCCCTTCGCCCCACCCTTTGGTGATTCAGAGCCCTGGAACCACCCAAGTCGTTAATTTAAATTAATTTGCAGAACAGCTAGGCTCAGCTGCTATTTACAGCTGTTTGACCTAGACACCCTGATCTTGCTGCGGAGGCCGCGGAGCGCCAGCGCCGGCCCCTGTCCCGCGCCATGAGTCCTGCCTGGCGGGGCGTCCCCGCAGCGCTGCGCCTCCTCGGAGGGCTGCCTCTGCTGCTGCTGCTGCTGCTGCTGCTGCTGTGTCCACACGCTTCTTGGGGTGAGTGGGGCCCGGGACCCCGCCCCGCCGGGCGAACCCCTAGGCTGTGCGGAAGGGGCTGCGTTAGTCTCCATGTCAACCGAGAAGTCTGGGGACCTGGTGAGGGGTGGGATGTGGGCATCGGTAGTCATTCCCCTTAACTTCCGCCTTTAAGGCTCAGAGCTCCTACTGTCCCCATCCCGTGGGACAAGATGAGGCTGTCAGCTGCTCACTAGCAATTAGGGGTCTTGCTGTGCTGGACCCCAGCTGGCCTGGCTTTAGGGGTGAGGCGTGGAGAGTGGAGGAAACAGAGCTGAATTGGTGGAGCCCCCCAACATAGGGAAGCAGAAAGGCAGGGCTTGAATTGAGTGACTTGTCAAATCCCCAGCATCTCTTTTAGAGTGGGAAGCCTTCCACTCTCGCCCCAAAGGGAATCCAGTCGTGTGCAGCACCTGGAGCTACAAATTTACAGTCTCCGTCTGTAACGTTCCAAGGGGCTGTCTGTCTTTATTGCATGCTTAGCAACAACAGTATCTACGTGGATATAAAGACTAAACCACTTTATTGACAAGACAGGAAGCCTAGCAAGTTCTTGGTATGTCAGTTCGGTACTGGATGGAAATATCCATGTGCATCAAAAGCCATTGCTGCTTCCTTTATTGCCTTGGGAAAGGAATGTTTCTATAAGTGATTCCTTCAGTTCCATTCCCTCTCTCTGTCTCTGTCTCTGTCTCTCTCTCTCTTTAGGTGACTGCAAGTTTCCCCCAAAGATGCCTAATGCTCAAGCAGCATTGGAAGGTGTTACAAATTTTCCTGAAGGAAAGTTAGTAACGTACAAATGCAATCAAGGGTTTGTTAAAATTCCTGGCAAGCCAGACTCAGTGATCTGTTTTCAGGGCGAATGGTCAGAGATTGAAGAATTTTGTAATCGTAAGTTCTTTATTTCTTTTTGGAAAAGTTATGGGAATGGAATGTATCTTGTTAAGTTAAAATTTATCAGTCTTTGGAGTGACTGGTAATTGATTGTTTTCTAGCTTTATAAACCCCAGGGTACACCTGTTGGCACTTCACACTCCAGCTAATTGATGGCATTACTTCTGGGAATTGGTCCTGCTTCTCCATTAACACTCCCTCTACACCCCTTTACACTGTACCTTCTGAACTAAGAGAAAATAAACAATAGGTACTGTTGTTTTTTAGGGAATAAGTTACATATGAACATGTTTGACAATTATGTTGAGACACATATCCTCAAACGCTATGCATAGCCCTCTATTAGCTTTGACATATACAAGTAGGTATAAACAACAAGTATTTTTAGAGACCAGGTGTGATATGGACTTTAGTGTTTTTTAACCTTTCTGTGATAGAAGGTAGGAGGTTGAAGTCTGTAAGCCTTTGCACATGTATCAGGCTGCAGTTTATAAGCCTATATATATTACTTCATCTAATCCACCAGACAACTACAGGAGTTAAATGGGGACTCATCCTCATTTTCCAATTGAGGAAATGGGCCCAAGGGAGTTAAATAACTTCCTTGAGATCAGCTTTTATGCACAAGAGCCAGGATTCAAACTTGAGTTTTTTAGCTATAAATTCAAAGCCCTTTCCACTATTCTGTGCCTCTAATAAGTTCATACTTGCCTAGGTGCTTAAAATTTTAAAATACTTTAATGTACACATTGGCTCGTCTAATCCTTGTCCCAATGGGTTGTTGTGAAATTAAATGAATTGATATGTGTAAAACATTTAGAAGTGTTCCATAAACAGTAGTCATTATTGTTACTATTGTTGTTGTCCGGGACATTAGCCCAGGGGTCTGGGATTATTGGTTCTCATTTACCCCTGTGCTGCATGGGACAGGGTAAGGGAACTGGCATGTATTGAGTCAGTGAGAGAACTGTGCCAGGCAACTTAAATGGTTATAGTTTTTTCAAATTGCATTCATAGTGATATCTATGTACCAAATCTACTTTACAGGCCACTAATAATTAGGAAATGAAAGCATATATTTGAATATATTCTTGATACACTATAAATGTCATGTTGATAGTAATATAGTTAAATACCAAATATGTGCAAAGAAGCACAGAAAAGGGAGGGATGGAAGGACTAGGTAATTTCAAATAATTAAATAAAAATTATAAAATAAAGTAATATTACTTTTTCTTGTTCTTGTTTTTGTTAATACTTTCAGGTAGCTGTGATGCCCCAACCGGGCTAAGATTTGCATCTGTCAAATACCCTTATAACAGACAAAGTTATTTCCCAATGGGTTCCGTTGTGGAATACGAGTGTCGTAAGGGCTACATAAGACATAATTCCCTACCAGGGACTGTAACTTGCCTTCAGAATTTTACATGGTCCAAAGCAAATGAATTTTGTAAAAGTAAGTATAATTTTAAAGAGATTCTTAATTTTATGGTATTTGGGCAAGTGGTATTTCATTCTTTATTTATACAGGAAGTCTATGTGTGCATATTATTATTTAGAATGATTCTTCAAAGCAACGTTGAGTAATATTATTTTAAATTAGGCAAACTAAATACTTGCGAGATCAGAACATTAATTTACTTAAAGGTTTCACATTTAATTAGTTTAAAGCCACCTTGAATGAAATGAAATAAGTATGTATTCTAAATATGTTGCATTTTTGAAACATAAAATGTATGATTTAAGCAGCCTAAAGTAAAGAGGTTGTCAGTGGTTCAAATGGTGAATTTTCATAGATGTGTCAAAAGTTCAATGAAAAAAAAACTTGTATTGTCTTCTAGAAAAATCATGTCCTGATCCTGGAGTAATAATAAATGGTCATGTCATTATAACAACTGACATATTATTTGGTGCATCCATCACCTTCTCATGTGATACAGGGTAAGGTTTTCCATACTAAACACTCTATAGTTAACAAATGAAAAAGCAAATTAAGATTTCATGTGAAAAGTTTTAGATCTGTGGCAAGTGTTTACAAGCCATTAGCAATAAAACAATCCGTCTGTTCAAAGATTTTATCATGAGCATATCACAGTTAAATTTAGTAAAGTAGGCTGAGAAAAGATCTTACACCACCAAATTTTCTAAATTTTGAGATTTCAGTACATATGTGATACAGGATAAAATTTTAATTGTGATTAGTAAAGTAAAAATCCTTATAATGTGTTGATGATATTTGCAGAAATTAAATCCAAGTGTTAAATGAAACCAGTTTTTAATTTACCTAAATAATAAATTTGCATATTTTTTCTATATGCAAACAACCTGTTATAAAATATCATAGGTTAAAAACATTTATTCCTGGTGTGAAAATATCATCTGACCTAAGGTCTTTTCTAAGTTGTCTACGTAGAGAATAGGAACTCACTCATTGAGTATTATCAGTGTCTCAGACATTGCTGAAAACTTTATATGGACTTTGTCATTTAAAATCTGAAAATTGAATTACAATATTTTACTTTGTATGTGTACCCATTTTTTTAAAAATAAAAACACTAGTATAGTATCACTTATTTCCTGTACTAAACGCAGATGTTTGGATCATTAATATCAAATCTGGGAGTACTTTGAACCCTTTAAATATAAGTGTGTTCTATTATTCTATGAAGCCTGTATTGATATTTTGGAACTCAGAACTCAAGCATCTATATCATTTTATTTTTATTTTTAAGTATATTTTATTGATTATGCTATTGTAGTTGTCCCATTTTTTTCTTCCCTTTATCCCCCTCTGCCCTGCTCCCCCCTCCCTCTAGCATTCCACCCTCTTAGTTCATGTCCATGGATTGTACATATAAGTTCTTTGGCCTCTCTATTCCGTATACTATTCTTAACCTCCCCCTGTCTATTTGGTGCCTACCAATTGTGTTTCTTAACCTCTTTACCTTTTACCACCATTCTTCCCCTGCCCCCCTCCACTGATAACCCTCCATGTGATCTCCATTTCTGTGATTCTCTTCCTGTTCTAGTTGTTCGCTTAGTTTGTTTATGTTTTTTAGGTTCAGTTGTTGATAGTTGTGAGTTTGTTGTCATTTTACTGTTCATAGTTTTGACGTTTTTTTCCTCAGATAAGTCCCTTTAATATTACACATACTAAGGGCTTGATGATGATAAATTCCTTTAACTTTATCTTTTCTGGGAAGCACTTTATCTGCCATTCCATTCTAAATGATAATTTTGCTGGATAGGGTAATCTAGGTTGTAGGTCCTTGCTTTTCATGACCTTGAATACTTCTTTCCAGCCCCTTCTTGCTTATAAGGTTTCTTTTGAGAAATCAGCTGATAGTCTTAAGGGGAATGCTTTGTAGGGAACTCTCTCCTTTTCTCTTGCTGCTTTTAAGGTTCTCTCCTTATCTTTAATTTTGGGTGATTTAATTATGGTGTGTCTTGGTGTGTTCTCAGATTCAGCTTCTTTGGGACTCTGAGCTTCTTGGACTTGCATGTCTAGTTCCTTCACCAGATCGGGGAAGTTTTCCTTCATTATTTTTTCAAATAAGTTTTCAATTTCTTGCTCTTCCTCCACTCCTTCTGGCACCCCTAGGATTCGGATGTTGGAACATTTAAAGTTGTCCCTGAGTTCCTAAGCCTCTCCGCATTTTTTTTTTTTTTTTTTTTTGAATTCATGTTTCTTCATTCTATTCTGGTTGAATGCTTTTTTCTTCCTTCTATTCCAAATCATTGATCTGAGTTCTGGTTTCCTTCCTTTCACTGTTGGTTCCCTGTATATTTTTCCTTATTTCACTTTGTATAGTCTTCACTTCTTCCTTTATTTTGCAACTGTAGTCAGTCATTTCTGTGAGCATCCTGATTAGCAGTGTTTTGAACGGTGCATCTGATAGGTTAGTTATCTCTTCATTACTTAGTTCTATTTTTAGGAGATTTGATCTGTTCTTTCATTTGGGCCATATTTCTTTATCTCTGTGCACCTGTTACATTGGAAGGGGAAGAGGCTTAGGTATTCTCTAGGGCAGGGCAACCCACTTGTCTGGGTTGTAGCACTGTATGTGGGGGAGGGGTCAGAGAGGGAACAATGCCATTTGCTTGGCTCTTGACCTGTTTTTAGTCACTTCCCCTGCTACCTACAAGCAGATTGTGCCCTTTAAGGTGCTGATTCCCAGGTGGATGGGCTTAAGTACATTCTGGGGTCCCCTGGGCCCCTTCAACAGACTCTCTTGTGAGACTGGGAGTTTCTCCCTCCACTGTAACCCCCACAGCTTTTTATAGCCAGAGGATTTGAGAGCTTTAGTTTTCTGCAATGGAACCCTGGGTTGTGAGGTCTGTCTCGCTCCCTAGTTGTTCCTCCCAGCTTTTCTGCACTCAAATGTGGGACTGCCTGGTACCACAGCCACCACCTTGTCCTGCCCCAGCTTCCCATCTCAGCCCCTTCTACCAGTCTGGATGAATGTTTCTTCTTTAACTCCTCGGTTGTTGGACTTCCATATAGTTCGATTTTCTGGCAGTTCTGGTGGTTTTTAGTTTATAACTTGGTTGTTATCCTTCTTTTGTTTGTGTGAGGAAGCAAAGAATATCTACCTATGCCTCCATCTTGGCCAGAAGCCCCAAGTATCTATATCATTTTAAAATGATTTAAAATGCTTTAATGTTTTTAACATGTACTCCACCCAAATAAGATATGTTTCACGTGTCTTATATTTTTTTATCCTTTGGATCACTTTTTAAAAATTTTTTCTTTTTCTTTAAACTGCCATACAAATGTTTAGTAACTATTGTTTTGTCTCCACCTACTGGTATAGTACATATTTTAAGATGATATTCTGGAGAATTTAAGAGAACTCACCTTTTTTTCTCCCCTCATTGTTTAGGTACGACTTAGTTGGTATAGCTTCTAGTTACTGTATTGTTAAAGGAGATAATGTTGACTGGAGTAGTCCATTGCCAGAGTGCAAAGGTAAGACTGAAAGAGTTGAAACACACTCATGTTATGGGGCTGACAAATTATTTTCTGCACATTAAGAATTGTTCACAGTAAACATTTGTAGTACCCTCATCTTCTAATATGTGTCTTAACTAATTTAAAAACTTTTATTTATAATACACCTTAATTTATTAGCTTTGGAGATAAAAGATTAAAAACAAACTAAAATTTGTGTTGTGTTTGGTCATTTATTATCTTGTCATTTTCTCTAACAGTCAAGTAAAATAGATATGGAAGTGTCTGGTCTAAGATCCAGGCTTACTCAAATAGGTGCCCCCCTCTCGCACTGTGAGGGGCCTCTGATGCATGTAAATTCAGTCTACACACTCAAGTGCCCTATGACCCTTATCCCCACTCCACTGAACTTTGGGCTAGAGGTATTCACATCAGCAGTGTAGACCATCCTCAAGAATATGGACCATGTGATCCTTTCAGCAGCACTAATACTAAAACTGGAACAATACAGAGGAGATTAGCATAAAGATGACATGAAAATTTGTGAAGCATTGCATATTTTTAAAAAAGGGGTGACCTTGGCTGGTGTGGTTCAGTGGGTTGAGCACCAGATTGTGAACTGAAAGGTTGCCAGTTTACCGATTTGAAACCTGGTCAAGGCACATGCCTGTGTTGTGGGCAAAGTCCCCATTTGGGGATGTGGGAGAAGCAACTGATTGATGTTTCTCTCCCTCTCTTTCTCTTTCTCCTCCCCTATCTCTAAAAGAGAAATTAAAAAAGAAAGAAAGAATAAATGAAAGCAAAGAAAAAAGAGTGTGGACCAGGAGGAAGGAATTTATCAGGACTTGAAAGGGGTATTGGCACAGAAATTCTGGGTGCCAGTCCCTAAAGCAGGATTTAGAATGGGGTGGGAGAGGAGCTCTCAGGGAGCACATTGCTTCAGCCCTGCAGATACCCATCCAGTAGAGAGAGGCATAGACCAAGGAGGGCCAGAGCATAGCCTTTTTAACATTCATTTCTCAGGGAGTCCATAGAATCTCTGAAGCCCATATATTGACATAAGGATAAAAATATAACTATGTAAATTGATTAGCTTTGCATTCAAGCCACTCCATTCTCTTTGGTCATATTTTACTTTACAGTACAATAAATAGGATGAAGACTTTAGTACCTTATATATTATAGGCTGCTTATATACATAAGAGTTGTTTTGCCCTTGAATTATGCCATCGTCAATTTCCAGTGCCTCTGGACAAAAATCTCTTTGAAAAAATTTTAACACATTTTAAATTAATAAAACTGGCAAGATATTTTTACAGATAAGTAAAACCAAAATAAGTTGAATATTTTATATTAAAAATTAAAATCTGTCATTTTTCTAAATTAAACATTATCAATGAGGGAAGCCTATAAATATCTATTAAATAATGGGTAGTATATTTGGAGCTCTGGATACATTGTAAAACATAAGTGTTAACTTTGAGACCAACTTAGATATACAGTCATGTGTAGCTTAACAATGAGCACATAACCTGAGAAATGTGTACTTAGGCCATTTCGTTGCTGTCACGTATCATAGAGTGACACACAAACATAGATGGTATAGCCCACTGCCCACATAGGCTCCTTTATAATGCTATGCAGCCCTCATTGTGTGTGCAGTCCATGACTGACTGAAATGTGACTATGCAGCTAGTGGTGCTGCGAGTGATAGCGCTGGGTGATATAGCATGTTTCTTCAGGGACAGACACTGAGTGAAATAACTTTCCTACATTATCTCCCTTATTCCTCACAGTAATGTTATAAAATCTGCTCTGTTTATATGCTCACTCTATAGGTGAGAAAACTGAAGTGGAGAGGGATTAGAGACCTTGGTCTTTAGGATGCGGTGGAACAGGCCCCAGCACTACGCAGAACTGCCAGGAGGGGAGGTTGTATAAGCAACCCAAAGTCAAACGGGCCTGGGGACCTGTCACCATACCAGGTCGTTACGTGTGATTCTCAGAATAAGATCTTAACTGAAGTTGCACTTTAGACATTTGTTAGCTCACCTAAAATCCAAAAGGAACTCAACTAGTGTTTGTAAAGTTGATAAACAGCACGAGAGGAGAAAAAGGGAGTAATTTCATTCTGACTTGATTACTTAAAAAAAGAAGTGAAATAAAATAAGTTTCTGAGGTCACTAACATATCCTGAAAGGTGTGGGAACCAAAACTCTGTGGAGATCTCTGTTGTGATTATGTCTGTTGTCCAGCGTTTGCATCCTGCTGTTCTTTGGTCTTGGCATGAGCAAAGGAAGACACTTTTTGAGGGAAAATATCTTTATTTGGGGTGTGTCACAGAATGAGATCACGGCTAACTCTGACTTTGGCTTTCCTTCTTCACACAGAAAGCAGTTCAATCATCTCAGTTCTACTTGGTGCATTTAGTTGCCTGTAGGTATAATTTATATTGAGGCAAAATCAGTGTAGCACTTCAGTTTCCTTGGGGAATGCACAAACAAGGCTTGGCTTCCTAAATGTCACATTTAGGTGTCTGTTGGGGGTAGAAGAAGAGTCATTAAGCAAGCAATTGGTTTCTAAATCTGAACAGCATTATTCAGCTAATTTTTAAATGACATTTTTGCTCCACAGAAAGTTCTCCAATTTCCAAGGTCACACCCACTCCTCAGAAACCCACCACAGTGGATGTTCCAGGTACTAAAGCACCATCAACTCCTCAGAAACCCACCACAGTGGATGTTCCAGGTACTAAAGCACCATCAACTCCTCAGAAACCCACCACAGTAAACTTCTCAACTACAGAAGCTGCTTCAGCTCCTCAGGAACTCACCACTGTAAATATTCCAGCTACAGAATTCCCCTCATCTCCTCCGAAACCCATCACAGCAAATGTTCCAGCTATAGAAGCCATATCAACTCCTCAGAAACCCACTAAAATAAATTCTTCAGCTACAAAAACCCTACTAATTCTGCAGGATTCTACCTTACATGATCTAACTGTTTCTCAGAAACACACCTCAAATATTTCAGTTATGGAAACCCCATCAACTCCTAAGAAACCCATCACAGCAAATGATTCAGTCACAATAGCCAAAGTATCCCCTGTATCAAATGCTCTGTCTACAAACAACCTGCCAGCAGCCCAGACTCCCATGATGGCAAATTCTTCTGCTATACAAGCCACACCCAAAACCCAAAGACTCACAACAAAAAAAGCTTCATTTACACAGCATGTTCCAGTAACACAAAAATTCACTGCTGTACATGCTCCAGTGATTAAGAGCCTCCACACAACACAAGGACTGACCTCTGCTCATATTTCAGCAACACAGACTCACAGGACAACCATACCTGTTCGCGCGACAACGACACGTTTTCATGGAAGAAGCACGCCTAAAGGAAAAGGAACCCCTTCTTCAGGTGAGCTGATGCTCTTCAGGTTTTTGAGTATGGATCTCGTGTTATGGCGGGAATTTGACCTTAGCCAGGATAACACAATTAAGTAGTCTGTGATTTATTGCAGCCAGAGCTTTTATTCCTACTTACATTCTGGACTTTCCTCATAGGCAGACTTGGATTGCGGAAGGACAAATCTTAAAAAAAAAAAAAAAAAAATCACTTTTGTAGTACTGTAGAAAAAGATTTGGCCCCATACAAACAATGGTAAATTAAGGTTGGCAAAGAAATTCTGTTTTTTATATTAGCTGTAGAGAGTCATTGAATTCTTTACGACCCTTCAAAGAACCAAATACATGCCATACTTCAAGTTGATTTCTGGGCCTGGTTTGTTGGCAGACACCCACCTCTCAAGCACGCTAAAGGATCTCGCCAGGTTCCCTGGAGTTGCTTCTTTGGTAAAGCATCTCAACAGTGCCTTCTATGTAATTGAACACACATGGTGGTGGTTGTTTTTTTTTTTTAAATAGTTCATATCACTACAGGGCTCTTTAAACAAAGGCACTTGTTGTAAAAGGGGAATAAAATATGCTGTAGACTTTGGAAATATCTGTTGAATCAATAAAGAAACCCCTCTTACTAATTAATGCTTCTTCAGACCACCAGGATGTCTCCTTATCTTACAGCTTGCCCAATGTACAGCCTTTCTTATAGAGATCTTTGTTCTCCAACAGAGATACGTATTTTGTTTTATTTTATTTTACTTTATTCCATAGAAAACCTCAGTAGAACTGGGGTAAGAGATGGTTTTTAAAAAATTATTTTAACATTTTTATTGAAGCCAATGCACATACAGGTAACTACAGAAAACATACATATGTGCCTCAGTAACTCTTCTAAAGCAAGTATTTGTGCAACCAATTCAAATGTCAAGAAGTAGAACATCAGCAGCCCTTCGGATTTGCCCCGTCCCTTTCCAGATGCTCTGCCCATCCTCAGACTTGTCAAGCCAGTGAGACTCGGGTTTCTGCTCCCTACACCATGTGGCTTAGGGATTTCCCTGGGCTGCATATATGCAAGTCTCATTGCATGCAGTTCTCTCTCTTGGCTTTGATCTGTTTCTGCTTGTGCTCATTAATTTGTTCTCCAGCATCTTCAAATCATTGTTATTGTTGTTTTTCAATATTTTGTCCAGATTTTGTAATTGCTATGTTGAAAACTGTTTTTCTATCACCCAGATAATTTTTGAAAACCTGAAACATTAGATATTATTGTTGAAGTTATCTTTGTATATTTCTTTATTCCATTAGGTAAAAAGCCAAATACAGATAAATACTCAAAATCTCACTCCATGCCCTGACTGGTGTGGCTCAGTGAGTTGGGTGTCATCCTGCAAACCGAAAAGGTTGCCAGTCAATTCTCGGTCAGGGCACATGCCTGGGTTGAGGGTTCAGCCCCCAGCTGGGGTCATGTGAGGGACAACCAATCCATGTTTCTCTTGCATATTGATGTTTCTCTCCCTTCCTCTCTCTCTAAAAATAAATAAAGTCCTTTTAAAAAAAACCTCACTCCATTTAGTTCCTCTCTTTAACTGGGGATCTTCAATTTCTGCCTGATTTAGGTCACTCTTGAATGGCATTAAATAATTGTATTTTTAAAATAGTTTAAATGACCATATTTTGATAATGATTTAATGCATTTCATAATCATTAGCTTGAAGCTTATTTGTCAGTATCCAGGTATTTTTAAGAATTTAACCATGACAGATGTTATTGCTAGAGTTCCCTCGAACATTTCTCCACTCCCATTTCTCTCACCCTGATCAATTAAGGGTGAGATTGCTGTGCAAACTTTCTTTGTTTTCATTCTTATATTACATGTATTTATCTGTAAGTAGTACATAGTATTGTTTTGTATACCTTTTATAATTTACATAAACAGTATGTTATAGTTTCCTTATCTAAGGTGACTTTTCTCACTCAACATTGATTTAGTGGCTTATATTAATACAATGGTTCATTTAGATTTAGTTAATTAATTTTAACACATGTATGTGGTTACTGACTCCTTAAATTTTTATGACATCTCTGGACCTAAAAGTTTTAGGTTGAATATACTCAATTTTTATATAAATTTTTTAATATACCCAAACTGCATATTTGTTGTAGAGCTAACTTTGTTGAAATATTTTTCTGCAAAAAATACATGATAAATTAACAATTTTAAATTAAACTTGAATCAATTATTAAGATAAAAATTAAACTAATTTTCAAATCAAATTTTATTTTGGGGGTTAAATGTTATTTTCTAATTACAGTTGACATTTAATATTATTCTATATTAGTTTCTGCTGTATTGCACAGTGGTTAGACAATCATGTAATTTACAAAGGGATTCCCCTGATATCTCAAGCACGGACCTGGCACCATACTTATTATTACAGTATTATTGACTATGTTTCCTATGCCGTGCTTTCCATTCCTATGACTATCAATTTGTACCTCTTAATCTCTTCACCTTTTTCACCCAGTTGCTCAAGCTCTGACCTCTCTGGCAACCATCAGTTTGTTCTCTCTCTGTGTCTATTTCTATTCTGTTTGTTCATTTATTTTGTTTTTTAGATTCTTCCTGTAAGTGAAATCACATGGTATCTGTCTTTCTTTGGCTGACTTATTTCACTCAGCATAATAGCCTCTAGGTCCTTCCATGCTGTTGCAAATGGTAGGTTTTCATTTATTTTTATGATCAAGTAATATTCAATTGTATATAGGTATCACTACTTTTTTGGCTACTTGTCTACTGATGTGCACTTGGGTTGCTTTCATATCTTGGCTATTGTAAATAATGCTGCAATGAACATAGGTGTGCGTATATTTTTTCAATTTAGTTTTTTTGAATTTATTCAGATATATACCCAAAACTGGAATCAATGAGTCATAATGCAGTTCTATTTTTAATTTTTTGAGAAACATCAGTGCAATTTTCCATAGTGGCTGCACCCATTTGCATTTCCTCCAACAGTGCACCAAGGTTCTCCACATCCTTGTCAACACTTGTTTGTTGATTTATTGATGATAGCTTTTCTGAGAGATATGAGCTTTTAATTTACATTTCTCTGATAATTGCTGATTATGAGCATCTTTTCTTCTGTCCATTGGCCATCTGTATGCCCTCTTTGGAAAAGTGTATTTTAAGGTCCTCTGCCCATTTTTAAATTGGATTGTATGGACTTTTTTTGATGTTGACTTATAAGAGTTCTTTATTAATTCTGGATATTAACCCCTTATCAGATGTATCCCTGGTAAATATCTTCTCTCATTTGTTTTGTTGATGGTTTCAAATGTTGTGCAAACCTTTTTAGTTTGATATAGTCCTATTTGTTTATTTTGTGTTTGTTTGTTTCCCTTGCTCAAGGATATGTATCAGAAAAGAATATTGCTGATAGAAATGTCAGTTTATTGCCTGTTTTCTCCTAGGAGTTTTTTGGTTTCAAGCCTTACAACTAAGACTTTATTTCCATTTTGTGTTTATTCTTGAATATGGTATAAAAAAGGGGTTTAATTTCTTTCTTTTTTGCATGTATCTGTCCATTTTTATCAATGCCGTTTATTGAATAGACCACTTTACCCCATTGTGTGTTCTTGTTTCCTTTCTCATATATTAGTTGACCATATAGGGTTTATTTCTGGGTCCTCTATTTTCCAACATTAATCTGTGTGTCTGCTTTTATTCTAGTACCATTCCGTTTTGATTCCTATAGCCTAGTAGTGTAGTTTGATACCAGGTAGCATGATACAACAAACGTTGTTCTTCTTTCTCAAGACTGTGGGTCCATATAAATTTTTGTATTATTTGTTCTAGTTCTAGTTCTGTGAAAATACACTGGTATATTGATAGGGAGTCAATTGACTCTATAGGTTGCTTTGGGTAGTATAAACAATGATATTAATTCTTCCTATCCATGAATAGTGCATATGCTTCCATTTATTTGTATCTTCTTCAATTTCTTTCATCATTCTCCTATAATTTTCTGAGTACAGGTTATTTATTCCTAGGTATTTTATTTATTTATTTTGATGCAACTGTAAATGGGATTGTTTTTCTAGTTTCTCTTTCTAATAGTTCATTATTGGTGTATAAAATGCAACTTATATGTGAATATGTATTTTGCATTCCACTACTTTCTTCATTTATCAGTGCTGGTATTTTTTTGGTGGAATCTTTAAGATTCTATGTATATAGTATCATGTCATCTGCAAATAATGACAGTTTTACTTCTTCCTTTTCAATTTTGATGCCTTTTAATTCTTCTTATGTTATTGCTGTGGCTAGGACTTCCAGTACTATATTGACTAAGAGTGGTGAAAGTGGACATCCCTGACTTTTTCCTGGTTTTAAGGAAATGCTTTTAGTTTTTCCCCATTTGTATGTGAGCTGTGGGTTGGTTATATATGGCCTTTATTACATTGAAGTATGTTTCCTCTATTCCCACTTGGCTGAGAGTTTGTATCATAAATGAGTGCTGATTTTTTTTCAAATGCATTTTATGCATGTATTGATATGATCATATGGTTCTTATACTTCATTTTATTTATGTGGTGTATTACAGTAATTGATTTGCAGATATTATACCAACCTTGCATCCCAGAAATAAATCCCACTTGATCATAGTATGTAATCATTTTTTGAATTTTTATTTATTGATTTTTACAGAGAGAGTGCAAGGGAGGGGGCTGAAAGAAAGGGAGAGATGAGGGGAAGAGAGAGAGAGAGAGAGACATCAATTTTTTGTTTAACCCATCTATGCATTCATTGGTTGATTCTTTTTTCTTTTTGAAATTTGGGAAAGATTTTTTTCTTATTGCTGCTCAAGTACAATTGTCTCCATTTTCTTGCCACCACTTTCCCCTGCTCCACCCAGCCCGACTTCCCACTCTCAATTATATAGTTTGGTGTCAGGGATTGTGATCCCTCTTACTTTGTTGTGTTTTTTTTTTCCTCAAAATTGCTGCAGCTTTTTGGGG